ATATTTGAACTTTTGCGTAGACTTTTTAACACTTCCTAGAAATTAAAAATTAATGAGAAATATTACAAAATTAAAATAGTTTGGAGAGAAAAGGTTCAATGAAAGCTGTTAGCTTAGATTTTTCATTCGATTCTTTATAGAGCAGTAAGGATCACGACTGCAAGTTTTTAACATCGAATATGGAATGACTTTATGAAACGACGATAGCTAAGGGATGATAATGCATTCATAAACCCTCTCACTTCCTACGCTTCCGATAATGCACCGAAATCGAATACCTTCTGCGTGAAATGTTGCCTCTCCTCGGGGCACATACGCTTCCATGACTCAGCACCTTCACGTAATATACGTGTGAATCCGTAACTGGGATGTTTACTCTTAAAGTGTCGCAAGTAGTTCAAGTATGGATGCTTTGTGAGTTGACGTTTGCTATTTTGAAAAGCGCGTCCGAAATTTGGAGCGACGGTTTTACCAAATTTCAACGACATTTTTCGCAATTTCTCTTGCTGTCGCTCGATTCTTCGGCGCTCTAGACTTTGTTTGCTGCTGACGGTTTTGCGACTTTGTTTGGCTTTGGTGATTTTACGACGACGTTGCTTACGTTGTGGTTTTCTACGATTCCGACGCATTGAGGGTTGGCGTTCTCGTTCAGTGAACGTGTACTGGTGATGCTCCTACAATTGCTTTGTTTGCTGTTGTTGGATATTAATATGTATTATTTCCAGTAAAAGTAAATAAATGAATAGACTGGTAAATTTAGCCACTTTTTCAATTGTTCAAAGAAAATAAGTAAAATAATTTGTAATAGATTTATCATGGCTGTCTATTATTGTTTTCGAAATTCTCGAAAGTATGTATGTACGTACGTCAAATGCCGAATTTGCCTCAATACACTGCGTGCCAAACTGTGGGTGGTGTAGTTATGGCGATTGCGCTGGTTATCCCGATAACCCACTTGATTTAGCGTGGTTTCGCCATATAAAAATAACAGTACATACTTAACCATTTGACCGAGATGGTAGAGGTATGTAGATACATACATATTTAAGTTCATTCAATTTTTCCCCTAAATAGGCAGTGAAGCTTTCACTAAATTCTGCTATAATTTAAAGAGCTATAAACCTGCGTACTCCAAATTCCAATTAATCACATGGAGCAGACGTGTAATCAATGTATGTATCTAGTGTATAATTATTGTTACGAAAATTTTTATATTATATGTATGTTTTATGTGTATTTTACGTTTTTTTTTTTTGGTGTCAATAGCTGCCCTGAAGACGGTTACCGCAGTGTAACCGAAATATATTGGAGAAAATTAAAAGCCTGTTTTAATTAAAATTCCAAAAAAAAAATTGACCTCGAGCCGGCATAACTAACAAATTAAGAAGTAAAAACGTCGCCAAAACCATCATAAATTCCAATCAATTTAAAACACTTTAAACTTAGAAGTAAACTGCAAAAAAAAATGTTCGAAAATGCATCACCAAAAAAATTTTTTTAGAACTTCGGAAATGCATCATCAAAAAAATTCCCCGAATAACGCAAAGAAAAATTATTCATCAAGTACACCTTGCGAATTTGCAAACCTTTGCAAATTCCTTCCGAACCCACGTCGAAAACCTGTGTTTTTCCGCCATCTTAGGGGCATCGGTGTTTATATTGAAAAAATACAAATAACTACCAGTGTTCGTACCCCTTTCCGATCGGAGCAGATTTAAAGCATAAAGAGACGGCAGCGTTGATCCGGATTAACTCGGGAGTTAACTGCAGTTGATCCGGATTAACTCCGAGTTAATCCGGATCAACGCTGCCGTCTGTTCAAGCTTCTACTCCGCTTTTTGAAAACAATTTAAATCTACTCCGTTTTTCCACTCATATTCTGCCCTTCTTAGGCCCGTTTTTTGACAGTTGACGAACGGATTTCAGTAAAAAATTTGAAAGTTAAGCAAAATCTTACTAATGAGCGATTTACTTCTGAATCGACTTTCAGTAGTCCGAACACTACAGTACAGTATTACAAAGGCTTTAAGATTTTTTTGACACTATACCCGACATCTATGCCACCACTATATCGCTCAGGTACTTAAATTCTGTATTCAGACTCTTCCTCATTCTTGCAGCTACGGCAGAAGTCATTATAACAGCAGAATTCTTGTGTATTCACCTTGCAAATGGCGAATCGCAACCCGAACCTCTTCCAAGATGGCTCGTCCGACATCTCATTGCCTGTATGTTCCTATATCTCCTTCTTGCACTCGAATTTGCAAATTGAAAACGTTGACTGAATTCTGAAATTTAACGAAAACGTTGTTTCATAACAGTTATTAGATGAGAAATATTTTTTCCGTTGCTGTTAAGAGTTATTTCAAAACGTTTATTTTTCACGTTGCTCGATAACAGTTATTGCCCGACGTTTATTTTTACGTTATCTGATAAGAGTTATTTCACTCTCTCACTTTTAATTCATCATCTTTATCTTATTCTCCACCTCCATCTTCATCAATATCCTAATCTTACAACGTTTATCAGACAACGTAAAAAATAAACGTTGTAAAATAACTCTTATCAAGCCACTTAAAAAAATAAACGTTGGGAAATAACTCTTATCGGCAACGGAAAAAATATTTCTCTTGCATAACAGTTATCAGGCAACGTAAAAAAAAGCGTTGGGTTATAACTCTTATCGACGAAATAAAAAATATTTCTCATCTAATAACTGTTATGGAACAACTTTTTTGCTATAAAACTTATAACCGTTATGTCCCTGATTGATACATTCGAGCTTTTCCTAAGTATACGCTCTTCGCGATCCAAGAGATTAAATACGACTTGAAAATTTAGAATTAAGTGTGATGTAGGGTATCAACCATAATATATTGCTTAAAAAAATAAAATATAAAACTAAATTGGAAATTCCTTAAAAATGTTTAAAGATCTATAATTTTTAAATGCAGACTCCATCCGCTCATTGACTGGGTCTATCTTTTCGATGACTATACCCGCATCTTTATCACCTTCCAAGTATCGCGTTGTAGATCTTTGACCTATTCTACATACATACATACTTACTTCCCACTTTGCTGAGATCTGCGCGTTTTCCGGCCATACTTTTTTCTTTTTTATGTTTGTGTGTATAATGTAAAGGGCAACACATCACGTTTTAAGTAAATTTTACTATTTCAAATTATTTTATTTTTAAATCTACATTGTTATTTATTTCATTTTATATTTTAACGAAATACATACTTACATACAAATACTCTGCGCCAAAAGGGGTTTCACGCATCAAAGTCATGCAGCATTAAAATAAAATTCTTATTTATGGGAAGAATGAGTAAACAAACGAGTGTTCGTTGAATAAAAGCAACTGGCTAGCGCAACTTGTTGTTGACGCTAGCTGATGATATGTGTGGCTTTCGTGGCGGAGATGTAGAATTTATTGTAGACTTTTCGAGGTAAGTGTCTATATTAAATTGTCATTTATTCATTTGAATGTCTGGTGTTTTCAACGACGATGAGGTAGATTTTTTCAAAAATAGCCGGCACGTTTTATTGCCGATTGAGAAGACAAAGGAATTGAACGAGCGAGGGTGCAATGAAAACGAAATATTTACATATGTATGTGTATACAAAGGCATATCCATGCTTTTGACAAAAACAAAAAACTTGTAAAAATAGGTAAACGAACTGCATAGTTGAATTGCTCGTTAAGTTATTGGACTAAAACTATGCTTTTTTATTTTTATTTTTATTTTTTTTTGTACCTTTTATTGATTTTGGGAAAAATAAAAAT